GGGCCAGGCACGAGACGCAGCCGGGCACGCGCCGCCGCGAACGTTAGGGGAGTTGGGCGGAGGTTGGGTGGGGAGCTTAGGGGCAGAGGGAGGAAGGAAGAGAGCAACGTCACATCACATCACCTCCCTCTTCCCTTCCCCGTGCGCTGCCTCGACTCCCGCCGCTTCCCCCGCGGGAGAAACGCGCAGGGACGGAGGGAACTAGCTGCTCGCGCAACCCCGGGAGGGGGCGGGGCGGGGCGCGGCTGGCGGGGCGCATGCGCGGAGCGGTAGCTCTATTCTTGGCCGCTGCGACTGGAATATTCTGGAAATGGCGGCGGCAGCGGAGACGAGGCTGCGGGAGCCTCGGAAGAGGGGGCGGGAGCGGAGCACTTTCGCTCCTGCCTCCCTCCTCCCCCTCAGAAACGGTAACGGAGTCGCCGAGGCGTCCCAGGGAGCCGCTCGTCCGCGCCGCCCCCTCCCCGGGGAGGGGTTTTTCCGGCGGCGATGGCGCAGTGAGTTTTAACAACTGGCGCAGTGCGCGTGCGCAGGTGGCCACGCTGCAGCCTATTGCCGGTGGGGGCAGGCGGCGGGGGCGCCCTGGGGCGCGGAGGTGTCATGCCCCTCAGCGCGGCCGGGTCTTAAATACGAAATGATCCTATTTCCTGGAAAACTACTGTACACCGAAAAAAAAGGTATGCAAATAAGTATGCAAGTCAGTCGTTTTATTTACTTTCTGTTGCTCACTGTAACTTGCCAGGGAGCGAGCGAGAACTGGGTCGTCAAAGTTGAAGCATTTCTTCAGTTCCAGGCACGAGAGCATAAGAAAGCACAGACAGTAACCCTGAAAGAGGGTTAAGACTCCCTAGGAGAGGCATGGGTTTTTTGTAGATGCTGCATCAATGAGCTGCCTTCAAATTATACGTTTTGAACACTTAGTGCTATCTATCACAGGGTGTACAAGGGTTGACATTATCCTATAGATATGATTATCATCATGGCAACGCTGCCCTTCAGGCGATAAACCCAGCTCAGGAGCAGCCCCCAGGTTATGGTGCCCTGGTGGTGGGATAGGAGGGCTTGCTGAGGTCCTGGGAGCAGAAAAACTGCACTTACTCGTTTTCATGCTGAGGGTGAGAAGGGCACAGACAGTGGGAGACAGCGTGAGGGGTGGGGTTGGTGGGGCACAGGGAGATGCAGCACGAGCCAGGGGAGGAAGCCAGGTGACAGGTACCTTGTGCAAGTTGTAGGGTCAGGAAAGCCTGGGAGTGGTGGCCAGTAACACACAGCCACTCTTCCCCCTGCGGCAAGCCATTGATCAGGGGCGGGCATCTACTTTGGGGCAGATAACTATTATTTTCTACATTTTCTTAAGGGGTCCGGCAGCCCAGATAGACTGGCCTGGCAGGCCACATTCTGCCCACGCCTGGCCTAGGTGAAGCCCCCTGCCCCGCTCCTCCCCCTATGGCTGGATGATGCCCTTCCTCCCCAACCCCAGACACTGGATTGGAACCACCATCCCGCTTGGGGTTGGATCAGACACCGCCCATCAAGCCAAAGGTTGAGCACCACCAGCTTAAAGCAGTGATTCTCAAGCAGGGTGCCTTGAGAGCCTTTCAAGGGTGGTGGAAGGTACAACACAATTTTTAGCTCTTTAGTAAAGTGTGCAAACACAATTCACAACATAAACCCAGAGGATGTGTCCAGATGAGCAGACATGCAGTATGTGGCACCACAGACCCATCTGTGGCACCACACATGTAGGAGTTTTCTGTGCTGCTACTGGGAGGGAAGGGGGGTGTCCTTGACCCCAGGAATCCCTGGGTCAAAAAAACCCCACCAAAGAAAAAAACAAAAAACACACAGGGCAGCACACATGGCAGCAGCACACACCGAAAACCAGAGCTTGGCTGGCCAGAGCCATAGTCTACTTGGTGCCCAGGCTCCCTGCTGCAGGAGTGCTGCAGCTCCCCTAGACCCCCAGGACAGGCTGCTGGAGCCAGCACAGCTGCTAGCCCATCTGCCCTATCCCACCTAGGGTAACCTGTCACACACAGGAACACATGTACAGGTGTTCCCCAGGGACACGTAGCAATGGCACAAGGTGTGCTACCACTCGCTACTTGTCCCCAGGG